CCGCAGCAACCTGTCAGGCTCTTATTGAATCTGGTGCAGAGGGAAATTTCGTGGATGAGTCCTGGGATCTCAAGCAAGGAATTCTTCTGGTTAATTTTCAAAACCCCATCACAGTGTTTGCCTCGGACGTGTTCTCGCCAGGGTTCATCGTGCCACTGCCCCTTTGAGTCTCACTGTTTCCGGTAATCACAGCAAGACTATTTCCTTTATGGTCTTTCGTTCACCCAATATTCCTGTTGTCCTGGGTCCCCCATGGCTGGTAGAACATAACCCGCAGATTAATTGGTCCAGTAATACTATTTTGTCCTGGAATTTGTCTTGTCATGTTAAGTGTCTTGTGTCTGCTGCTTTTTCTGTGTCTCCTGTCTCTGTTTTCAGGAGGAACTGGGTGATTTGTCCGGTGATTTCTTTTCTAATCTCTAGATGTGGTTCTCATTGTTCTGTCTTCCTTTCCCGCCGTGGTGGGGTTCTTTTTTGAAGAAGAAGAATGATGTTTCGTTATGCCCCTGCATAGACTACCGAGGTTTAAATGACATAACCGTTAACAACCCTTATCCCTTGCCACTTATGTCATCAGCCTTTGAGATCTTGCAGGGAGCACAATTCTTCACAAAACTGGACCTGCGTAATGCGTATCATTTGGTCCACATAAAGGAGGGAGACGAATGGAAGACTGCTTTCAATACACCCCTGGGCCACTTCGAATATAGTGTTTTACCGATCGGGCTGGTCAACGCCCCTGCCGTTTTTCAAGCCTTAGTCAATGATGTTCTTCGAGACATGTTGAATATTTTTGTATTTGTCTATCTCAACGATATCTTGGTTTTTTCACCCTCTCTCCAGGTTCACATTCAGCACGTTCGTAGAGTCCTTCAACGACTCCTTGAGAATAAATTATTTGTCAAAGCTAAGAAGTGTACGTTCCACGCCCAATCCGTTTCTTTACTCGGTTCTATAATCTCCGCTCAGGGTATCAGTATGGACCCTGCCAAAGTCCGTGCCGTCACTGACTGGCCCACTCCCGATTCCCATGTCTCGCAGCATTTCTAAGGATTTGCCAATTTTTATTGACGATTTATTAAGAACTTCAGTCAAGTAGCCGCCCCCTTACCACGTTAACTTCTACCAAGTCTTGTTTTGTTTGGAGTGACGCTGCACAAACTGCTTTCGACCATCTGAGAACACTGTTCACCTCCGCACCCATTCTCATCACCACTGACGTTTCTAAACCTTTCATAGTAGAGGTCGACGCCTCTGAAGTGGGTGTGGAGGCTATCCTCTCGCAGCGGTCATCTGATGGCAGGATACACCCTTGTGCCTTCTTTTCCCACCGTTTCTCACCCTCCGAGCACAATTATGACGTCAGCAATCGCAAACTCCTAGCCATTCGTTTAGCACTGGGTGAGTGGCGGCATTGGCTTGAGGGATCATCTATCCCATTCGTCATCTGGACAGACCATCTTAACCTAGAATACATCCGCTCAACCAAGAGACTCAATGCGCGCCAGGCTCGTTGGTCTCTTTTCTTTGCTCCCTTTGATTTCACTATTTCTTATCGCCCTGGTTCCAAGAATCTTAAGCCGGATGCCTTGTCTCGTCAGACTTGTCCCTCCCGACTCACCACCCCTTGTTGAGGCCATCCTTCCTCAGGGACGGGTGGTCGGGGCCACCGTTTGGGGAATTGAACGTACGGTTAAACGTGCACTATCCCATGCCATTATGCCACCGTCTTTGCCCCAGAGGTTTATTATTCGTTCCTCCTTCCGCTCACCGTGCTGTTCTTCGATGGGAGCATTCTTCCAAGCTTTTCGCGCATCCTGTAGTTCCTGTAGATCCCTGTAGAGGGATCATTGCCTCCGTTTCACAGAGGTTCTGGTGGCCCACCTTAACTCGAGATATCTGCCGCTTCGTGGCCACTTGTCCTGTCTGCGCTCAGGATAAATTCAGTAACAAGCCCCCCGCTGGTCTTCTTAGACCCCTGCCCATTCCGTCACGCCCATGAGCTTTACTTTGTCTTGATTTTATCACAGGGTTTTAATACGGTGATTCTCGTTGTCGTCGATCGATTTTCTAAAACAGCTCACTTTGTTCCACTTCCTAAACTCCCCTCTGCCAGAGAGACCGCTCAAATTGTTGTTGATCATATATTTAAAATTCACGGTCTCCCCGACAGTGTCGTGTCTGATAATTCTCCTCTCTCTTTTGGAGGGAATTTTGTCACCTCATCGGAGCCTCTGTCAATTTTTCCTCCGGTTTCCATCCCCAGACCAATGGACACAAGAGTTCAAGAGATTTCCACAACGCATGTGCGAGAATTGCAATCTCCTTAAACTACTTCAGTTCAGTTCTCGCGCATGCATCATGGAAATCTCTTGAACTCTCGTCTCAGGCCTGCAAGGAAGAAAAGGAATAGTCGAATAAAGTCGTTATTTTTGTTTGTTTTCACACAAGCATTCTCGTCGCTTAAACTTATCGTTGAGCCACTGATGTCACATGGAATATTTAAACATTTTCTTCAATGACTTTCTGGGCCGTCAAGTTTCGATCCCTTAGGCAGCCTATGTAGCAGTGATCCTCTCAAATTTAATCAAAAATATCTTCATTTGTGTTCCGAAGATGAACAAAGGTCTTATGTCGTTGGTACAGCATGGAGGTGAGTAATTAAAGACTTAATTTTAATTTTTGGGTGAACTAACCCTTCAAGCAAGTCGACTTACGCCAAAAGAGTAACACTTAATACAATGTATGACAGGATATAAGAGCAGCGTAAGTTTTGAGGCCTCTCGTGGTTCAAACAAACAGGACTTTGCAACAAACTCAAGCACCTCTGACTTTTCTCTTAATTTTTTTTTTTTTTTTTTAGATATTTATACTTCTAATTCATGACTGGTGTGTTTTTTGCTCTATCTTCTGTGTTTCCGCATTCATCAATGCTTCATGTCAAAGGTTATTTTTTCAATGTAAATCTGTGTTTGTGTCCGTCTGCCTGTAGTTAAGCTATGTTAGTCTGTAAAGTTTTAATTATGGATATTTTTCTTACACAAAGGCATTGCTTCACTTTAGAAGGCCTTTATTAACCACCCCAATGTAGCATGTTTATCATCCATCTTTGATGGACTTCAAAACATAAACGGCCATTTACTGCCATTATAAAGCTTGGAAGAGCCAGGACATTTTTTTTAATATAAGTCTGATTGTCTTTGTCTGAAATAAGAATGTCATATACACCTAGGATGGATTGACGGTGAGTAAATCATGGGCTAATTTTAATTTTTGGGTGAACTCCCTTTGAATGAAAGAAATAGAATGAGACATATGTGAGATCCTTGTCTCTGGGGGCTGTTTACACCTGTAAATGCCCTCCAAAAAACATTCTAGACAAATTTGAATCCGATTGCTCAAAACACTTCAGGAGGTGGTCTGGGCCACATTTCAGACATAACTGGACAAGTGTAAATGATGTTGTTGAAAACACATCTGGAAAAACTACTAGCTCTAGATCTCACCCTTTCAAACCCACCCATAGGGGGTTGGCCTGAATAGTGTTTACATGAACGTCAAACAAGTGATCGGTTGATATGCGTTTTAACATTGCTAAGAAAATTCCTGCTCCTCCGTGAGAGATATGAGAGAGCGGTAACTTACGTCTCAGGTGCTGCTCATCGGTAATCACGTCACCGGCCTCACGTCATTCTCCACAGAGCTCTCACTCGTCCCCACTCGCCACAGTAACGTTAAACATGACTTCGCGTCGTTCTCCACACATCCCGCTCGCAACATGACTTGCGTCGTTCTTCACACATGCCTCACTCGTCCCGCTCGATCGCAACATGACTTGCGTCGTTCTCCACACATCCCTCACTCGTCCCGCTCGCAACATGACTTGCGTCCTTCTCCACACATGCCTCACTCGTCCCGCTCGCAACAGTAAACATGATGAATGATGACTGTAGAACGCAAAAGCTGAATCCCGGACATTTTGGGCAATCTCGAAACACATTTTCGGACAGACTTATCACGGAGAATCACTAGTAGACTGTTGTTTATACCTACTCCTGCGAAGTTAGCGGTAGGTGTGGCCTCTTAGGGCAGCGAACAAATGCATTCTGGGAGTTGTTGTCTTTCATCCACATAAGCCAAAGATACATTTTCTGTCTTTTCTCAGTCTAGAAAGCTCCAAATTAAAAATAATTTCACATTTATTCTACATAAATTACCCATTTTAAATACACATTCATCTTTCCAGAGGTGGAATGACCCTTTAAACAAAACGCAAGCAAATAGAAAAAAACACCTGCAAATTAAGAAAACATAAGCTCACAGTTTCATCAGTTTCACAACACACGTGTGCTCCAAATTCTCACAATACCACCCAAATACAAAAGTGCTGCAAAAACTCACAACACAAATACACGCTGCAAATAACACAGACCACAACAGAAATGTTTCGATGCAATTTCCGAGCAATAAGCAGCACGTCCCAGCCAGGTTCATCACTTATTTGGTTCCCCTGGAAAGATTTCCGTTGTGGTCTGGGTTATTTGCTGCGCGTTTTTGTATTTGGTTGTGTTGTGAACTTTTGCAGCGCGTTTCTGTATTTGAAGCACAGGTGTTGTGAAACTGATTTTTTTTTTCTATTTTCATGTGTTTTTTTCTATTTGCATGTGTTTGCTTCAGTTGCATTGCGTAGAGCTCTCTCGGTCACCGTAGATTATGTTTAATTTAAGTTATGCAGTGCAAACTGTTTGAGCAGTATAAGTATCAAGCAGTATTAGTATCATGATACTGGTCATAAAAAGATGGCAATAAACATCGTCTTTTATGTTGTCTACATTAACAAAATTATTACTAGGCTACGTTAAAATTTTACATTATAAAAAGTGTGTTTTTAATTAATAATCGTGATAAATCACAAAAAATAGGATATTAATCTAGTTAATTTAATCTAGTTAACAGTAAATCAGTCTACAGGCTTAGACAACCATAGAAGTTGTGGAAGGTCTCATTTATTTATTTGTTTTTTTAATTTCATCACATAGCCCCTTTAAAAAAAAACTTATTTCCACAAATTACCAGCATTATAGCCTACACAAATAGTTATGACATCATCATTACTTAATTGGTAAAGACATAAGTAGACATATCATAACATAGTATCAAAGACATATCGTCTGATAATTTAAACATTGTCACATTAAAGAGAAAAATAAATTTAATCTTCTTTACCTTTTCAAACACAGTTAGACCCTATCCAATACAATCCGAAGGCACAAATAATGTAAAGTATAAATAATATATTACTAATGATACAATAAAAAATATAAAAAATAAAAAAGTGTTGCATTGCATCTTTCACATACTTGATATTTATTATCCATCTATCAATTCTCCAAACCACTTTATCCTCAGCAGGGTTGCACGAATGCTGGAGGCCAGCATCTCAGACGGATGGCCAGTCCATCACTGGGTAAATCGACACATTTATTTACATGCTTCTCAATGAACACTTTCATAGTTAACATCAGCAGATGGCAGTATTGTACATTTTTCATTAAAGAGAGACCCCTCCTGGTTGCGTGAAGACTGCCTGCTCCTAGTCCTTCAACAGTGACAGGCATGTCATTGGTTATATGAGATGTCCCTTCACATCTAATACAAAAGCCAGATGTGATTCTGGACCACTGAATATGTGAGAATACTTCTTCAAAAAATAGCTTATAAAAATATTTAAAGTACCTTTCTATCATTTCTGATTGTTATTGAACACAAAACCAGCAACAATAAAGAAATAAAAGAATACAAAAAAAAAAAAAAATAATGTTTAGTTGCACCAGAATTGAACTCAACAATACAGTATTGCTGGTGGTGAAAGTGTTGTGGTTATGAATGGACATGGCAATTAAAACTATAAAGCAATAAAAAGATAACATTACAAGGATGTTTCTTATAACTGTCATTATTGTGCCATGAGCCTGACACTTAACCTCAGTTTACTCTGGAAGTTTGTCACATTTTTTTTTAAATCTGGTTGTAAAAGTTTATTTATACCAACAGTCCTAGTAAAGATACAAGCGAAAGATAAAGAACAACAAAATAAGAAAGGGGATGTTTGCGCATGTTGGTGGATTTTCCACATGTTTGTATGGAGATGACTTGCAGAGGTTTTAACAGGCGTTGAGGATTTAGATTGCTCTTTGGCCCTGGGTAAGGACCCCCCCACCACTCCTCTAATGGAAGATGATTCAGTCGAACGGACGAGAAGACAGAATCGCAATTACCCAGACTTATTGAACTCACCCCTGACATTTCTTTGGCTTCTGACTGAACTACAAGAGGATAGGGAAGTGGAGGAGAGATGAAGGGGAGTGGAGGGATACAAAAATAAAGAGAGGGAGAGAGAAGATAGAATAAATTAGTGAAAAAGAAGACTGAGGTCTTGCACCTGAAAAGATATAATGCAGACATACAGAAACATGCACAATTAGACAAAAACAGACCAATTGAATCGCCACATTATTCAATGAACAAAATTATCTTAAATTGGACTGCCAGGCTGTGAAATAATTACTGCCCCAGTCAACACTGAATCTAAGGATTGACATGTGCATGTTAAGCCACAAAGACAATCTCTCCATTCTTTCACTCAATATATCTCATCGCAGTCTCACTCAATCTTCGAGGGTAGCAAGATAATGAATTGTGGAATTAGATCTAATGGGACACAGACCAGCGACGGTATTACAGGAAGGTGCAAAAAAAAACAACAAAAAAAACAGAGCACCATTTCAGTCCAAATTGCCCGCGATGCCATTCAAATGCCAGTCTGGCATTTAAACGTGTCTCTCTCCTCACAACTGACCAGGACTTCCATTCGCCTCAGTCAATCTGATTCAGCCCTGCCTGTTCTAATTGGTTTATGGATTCCATGGTCGATCACAAGACAAGTTCTCTCGTAGTAAAGGTGGTGGCAAAGTGCTTTTCAGTAAGGAAGGTCAAGGTCACAGGATTCATGAATGTAACAATATTCAACAACAAGGGTTCAACTGTCATTATAACAGCATAACAACCACCTTCCCTAACATTTTGCTACAATTGGTCTCATTTATTAGGATTCAGACATCTGATGCTAAAGGGGTCTGAATTATTAATATTATTATCTTGAAATCTTTGGACGATACATACAAGTGATCTGCAGGTGAATGAAGGGGGTGTGGGATGACGATTAGCCCTATCATTTATTTCCAAGGCACTTTATAATAACAATGTCAAAAAATGAAGATTAAAACTGATATTCTTCAAGCATTGTACAAATGAAAATCAAACATACTTCCCTCTTGAGTGCAGTAGAATGAATTTCACAGTTCTGTGACGGCTGCAGTCAGAAAAGTAAATATCAGGTGGTGACACATGAAGCGACTGATCCGCACAAATCCTTTACAGTGCAAATGAAATACACATGGCTTTACGGTCTGGGATTAACTGTCTGTTGACTGCCGTTAGGCCTGCCACTATTACAACCTAATCAAGCACATGAAGAAGACACACTCTAGGCCTGTTCCACACAAAAAAATAAAAATAAAATAATAATAATAATAATTATTATTATTCAGGTTGTTTTGTTGTTGTTTTTTACTATATCTCTAACTGATAATGATAAAGATTTTTTTTAAATGTTATTGTTATAATTGATTCATCTGTATATACTGTTATTTAAAAAACCTGATAGGAAACACACTGATTCCAGACTATACATTTCCAATAATATTCCATCTTTTCAGAAACTGGCTGTCTGTGCTGTGCAACTTGTAGGAAGGGAGGAATATAAAGTTAATTTATTGCCATTTTCCTACACATTAGGACTGAAATAATACAATTGATTTGGTTTTCATGAAAAAAAAAAAAAATCAAGTAAAAGACAAGAACATTTACTCTGAGGTCAGTGGCAACAAAAGTAACATTCTGCCATGTTACTTTTAGATGAATGAGGTGATTTAATGCTAGAGTTTTATATTTAGGCATTTGATCAGAATATTTTGCAGGGACCCTTTCAAAATGCATCTCTGAATTTAGTCAGCTATTAATTGTTCATACCACTATTGTGATTAATGAAAACGTATGTAACCAAAATGCCACAATTATGAATTATAATATGAAAACATTATTTAAATATATTAAAGAAAAAAATACATTATATTTTTATATATTATAATATATTTTTAGTTAATTACAAGTCGAATTCAAATATGATGACTAAAATGATTCGATTTTTCTTCAAAACATTGTGCATGGATTTATTCTTTGAAAAGCACTGTTAAGTTTGTGAATTCAAAGCACAAAGAGGGATGGGTAGCTTATATACTGAAATATTTTAAAACTGAATGAAGAATACAGAAAGTGCAAAAACAGGGAAGTGAAGATAAATAGATTAGTGTGTGAAAGATGGTGAAATGACACATTCCTCATCACAAAGCAGGAGAGCAGCTGTGGATGGGGCAGGTTCCGGTCGAGTACAGACGCACAAAAGAGGACTCCAGCTTTCTCAGAGGGGCACTGGAAGGGACACTGGGGTACACACAAAAATGACCAAAGCTACATTAAAAATATATGAGGTAGAATTATATTCTGCATTCCAAACTTTAAATGTGATCCAAAAAAACTTTCTGAGACATTTGACCTCATATCTCATCAGGTCTATGCCTTACCATGATTGGCATCTGGTAAAAGGCCTTGTTTCAGGAAGCCCTCTCTTCTCAGCTGTGGTCAAAATAAATATCTTAGGGGTTAGGTTAAAGGTGGGGCACGCCACACATGGAATCAGCCTCTTCTCTCTATATATACATGCTGAATCTGAAGATATTAGTGATGCCACACACGAAGAACATCCCAGCCCATTTTGTGTCCACATATGTAAGTAAAAAGCAAGTCCACAATGAAAATTAGATACAAATAGCATTTTGTTTATTGCATATTTTGACCCATTAGACTATCATATCGCGTTTCTTTATCCAGCCCCCTTTTTCTTTGTTAGTTACTTATTTTAGTTATTAATTCACCAACGTAGCTATATGACCTCTTACTGCTGACAGACTGAAAGGTGCACCGTGCTCATTATGTGTAATCATATAGCCAACTAATTACTTTTAAAAAATGAGTGACGTGCTAAAGTGAATAAAGCAACAAGTCCACAGTGAAGTGGAAGTGGGCAAAGTGTTTAGAGACAAGTGATTATTGCGCAAGTCACGCGACACACTTGTCGCAAGGGTCGTAAACAATCACAAGCGCGTGAAACAGGTGCCAATGGAATTCGAAACATCTAAACTCCCGCGAAGAAACCGTGATAGCATCATGTGACCCACCCAGGGTGTTCAGACATCGGAAAAAGAGTTTGCTTATTGTTCTTTATGAGTTATATTCGTATACCAGCAAGCGAATATAACTTTTTATATTCGTATACCAGCTCTCATGCTGCTTAACCCTGAAATGTATAGCCACCACGTGGTGTTATTGGCATTTAGTAATTGTCACAAAAAAGATTTCCCAGCAGGAGAAGGGTCCCTATGCACATTTACATTTATTCATATTTAAAAAAGGACAAACATCCGCAGCACATATGACAAAAAAAATAATTAATTGCTATATTAGAAAAATATTATTTTCATTTCTTTATCATATTTGCTTTTTTTCAACAGAACTATGTACAAACGAAAGCATTGTGCTTTAGATATTATGCGAATCCTCTGCAGAGCAATCAAAGCCATTAGGCAACACAATTTGAGGGACATTTTAAGCTTAACCTATAGGCCTATGTTTTAAATTGATGGTGTTTATTTTAATAGAAATTATTAAAAAAGAAAAAAAATCTTCTAATAGTTTTTATTACCCGTTATTTTACAAACACGAAAGCATTAGCAAACAGATGAATGAGAGACGAATTTCGTATAACGACATAGGGCTATTCTGATAATATTGTATTATAAAATGTTATTTTCAAATGAATTAAAAATAAGAACATTAAATGGGACACATTTTAACGAATTATTGTCTCACACTGTCAGGGTGGCAGAGGCTTTGGATACATTATCTGAAAAGAAATTGAGAATTAAGCAATGATTATTGTTTTTAGAAAGTAATCAACCATTCAGCAGGCTAATGTTTATCATGAGACGTACAACTGAATTTAAATTACATTAAAAAATGATAATTTTAAGGAAGTACAATTTTAAAATGATTGATATAAAATGATATAATTTTAAGGAAGTACAATTTTAAAAAGATTGATATAAAAAACGAAAATATTTACTCTTTTATGACCTCTAACTAAATAACTAAATGAAACTCAGATTACTAAGAATAAACTAGAAAAGTCAGAAGGCTATTTACAGACATGTTAACGGAAAAGAAAAATACTGTAGCCTAAGACGTTCGATTAACACTTCCATAAAGTACAACAAATTAACAACATTTAAATGGCACGAAATTAGCAAGATGGAATAAAGACAACGATGGTTGATACAATCTAAATACAAGATCAAACGTGCAGAAATATAAGAACGATCAACAAGCCTTATTTCGTAGAAGACCATTTTAAAACTTTCTGGGTGCAAACTAATTTGAAGGGAAAAACGCGTTATATAAAATATAATGTGGGCTGACATGTCTGAGAGGCGCTCTAAATGCCAGTTTTCACGGAGAAAAACGCTTGGTATGTGTGAAAATGAACCTGTGGCACTCTCTTGCATTTGAAAAGCCAATCGACGTTAGACATGTCTGAAAATATTTTAAGCATCATTAATAACTTTTTTAAGTTAGTTGAAAAAAAAAATGGTCTACTCAAGCACGCAAAACCGTTTTGTCTCTCCAATTCACTGAAATCTTCAAGGTGGGATGAGTGGAGAGAGACAAGGCTAAAGCTTTGACTGTCAATGAAGCCATTTTCTCCAAAAAGGGTCTCAAGATGGGAGCAGTATTAAATTAACTTGATCCCATCTAAAGAGCCTTAATTAGGTTTGTGGAGGACGCCACATGCACGGTGGGTCAGGGACAGCAAGACTGTGTCGACTGAAAGGAGACTTATTTACGCCAGGACGATCAGACGCTTTAGAATTAAAAGCATTAAAACCTATCAACTCTATCCTCCCGGTGTTTTCAAAGTGTCCACTCTGCTAGGATCCGGACCCCGACAGTTCCCTGGCTTTGATGGAGGAATCTGGATTTAAAACAAGAAGCATCAGTCATGCATTTATTTTAGCCAATACCAACAGAAGTATTGGTTTCACTCTTTGGTATTGGACCAAATTATGCTAGGTAAAGCCAACCAAATTCATTT